TTTTTCGTAAATATCTTTTGAAGATATTTTATTTCAGGGGATTCTAACAAAATATCTTTTGGAAAATATTTTCATTTGGGGTCACTTGTGTAGTTATCTATTTGTGTATGGGTCTTTGTGCAATTAATGAAAGTTAGTTGCTAAGTGTCTCCTTGGGGCTTGAATCCTTGTACGGGATTTATTTTCACATTTCGTCAAGTCGTGTACTCTTAGAATTGTCTTGCGATCAAACCCTGCAGTTTTCTAGTTTTCGGCCCCGGTTTGCGCCAAACTTGTTTAGGGCATATCTCTCTATACGGAACTCAGTTTTTGACGCTGTTTCTTCCGTTGTTCATTTTTTTCATTTCGCTTCTTTTTTGTTCACGGAGTTTTGCCGTTTGAGCGTGTCTGCTCAAATTCCACTTTTCCGGACCTGGCAGGGCCCGTTCGGGGCACTTTTTGAGTTTTTCTATAAATAGGGGGTCTTGAAATGAAAAATCAGTTTTTTCCATCTCTCTCCCCTCTCTTGGCTGGCCCTAGCTCCTCCCATGGCTGCCACCATCTCTCTCCACTTTTAAACCTCCTCCCTTGAATGAAAAGTGGTAAAGCTTTAGTGTTTATTGTTCCTCTTAGCGAGGCCTTCAATTCCAACCGATTGCAATTTCATTCTGGCCATTTTTTGAGCTTAGGTTTGAAGTCAAGTTGTGATTTTGATGGAGCTTCATGGGGGTTCATGTAGATCGTGTTGTCCCCAACAAAACCTAGGAGTTTCGTCGGATTCGGAGCGGTTTCATTTTGGTGGCTTTTGAGATTTTCATCTCAAATTAAGGTAGATGATGTATTAGGACTATATATGTGTTGTATTGATTGTTTTATGAACTTATACAACTTGTATGCATTCTTTGTATAAATCCTAGAATTTAATTTAATTAATTTCTTGTATAGGATTTAATTCTAATGGATGCATATGGCTTAGAATTGTGGCATGCTAGGAAATTAAGCCTTGATATATTGAGTAACATATATTAAATTTGGAGCATTTGAATAAGAATTGCAAAACTTATTTAATATTTATCTTTTATGAAAGTTTAATTCACATAGTTGAAACAAGTATGAAATCAACTTGTAATATGAGATTAAAATAGGCCTTGGCATGTTCTTTAACCTATGTTAAATTGAGAACATTTAGATAAGTTTACAAATCTAGAGATTTTGAATTGAATGAACTAATAAAAATCTAATTAATGGTTCCACTAGTTTGATTGAGTTTTAACTTGATAATGGTAGTGCCTTGGACTTGTTCACTTGTATATATCCATTTGGGGCCGCTTGGGGTTGTTTTAGAAAATCTAGAGATTTAATTAACATGTTTCAATTAAACTCTATTTTGTTGTCTCAATGATCCAAACTAGTTTTTGAGTTGGTTTGTGTAGTGACCATACCATGTTATTTAACATATTTGAATTAGGGATCGTTTGGATGAGATTGCATTTTAATTTTGAAATGAAATTGTCAAAGCGTGTAACGAATCGCACACTGAAGATTGACATTATAAATGTCATTGTAGAGTTGAACTCTAGGACATGGTTTGTGTGGATTCAACCTTACTTGTGCACGTAAATTGATTTCTAGACATTATTTGAGATGTATAAGTTTAGTTTAACTTATTGATTTTGCATAAGTTTTGAACTTATTGTTTTTGGAGGCTTGTAAGGATCATGTTCATGTGATGGCTAGGGTTTGGCCCTAGTACGGATTCGTGAGTTTCCTAAGTCATATGAAGTGCGCAGTAGGTAGTACCTTCTGGGTGTAATTACCCGGAATAACTTATACACGTGCGCACTAGGTAGTACCTTGCGGGCTAGTAACCCGAAATAACTCGATTGGTCTGCAGCCAAGGATCCTAGTCTTTCCACTACTTGATTTCGCATTTAATTTCAAGTTGTCAATCATGGATTATTTGAATCTTATTTAGTATACTTGAACTTGTATACTTACTCCATATTTCATTTTAGTATACTTGTGCTATGTATACTTGTCTTGTGAGTATTTGTTAGCTTAATATAGTTGTGGTTGTACACTTGATTTATGAGTACTCTATATATATATCTTATACTTGTGTATGTATGCTAGATATTGCTTATTCCGTTTAGCATGATTTAGTATACTTGTGAGCATGTGTACTTGAATGTAGTGTAGCATGTTTTAATACGGTTTAGTGTACTTGAGTATGTATACTTGTATGTTGTTGTTCATATCAATTGCATGAGTAGCTTAGAATGATCCCTAAGTCTCACTGTGACATAAACGTTAGGTGGCATAAGCCCCTTTAACATGTTTCACCATAAGGTGATATAATTGTAAAATGCTAGGTCGATGCATGCTCATCTCCTACGAGTAGCTTTATGTTACTCACCCACGTAGTGGGAACATTTTTCAGGTACGAAGACTTGGTTCGTAATGCTTGTTGCTCCATGGATGACTTGTAGTTTTCAAGTTTCCATTTCATGCAAATGTTAGCATGAAATGTCATTTTGTAGCCTTATGTATCAAAACTTGTATTATTTGATTCCAAACTTGTAATGTGTGCCTAAGCACACTTTTTGACGCTTATTTCGTGTATATGATATAAAGCCAAGGGCCAAGCTTCATTTGAAATTCATGTAGATTCCTAAATGTTGAATTTTGCCTTTAATAAGAATTTTATGAAAATCATGTGTTTTAGTATGCTATTTTGCACCGGAGTGTGCATTGTGTATGAAATTCATTATTTGCCATTCATTTTCCATGTATGAGGTGTGGCCAAGGGCCAAACATCATTTAGTTTTCATTTTTGCATTTTAGTTTCATATTTTGTATTTTGGGCTGAAATAGTAAAATCCGACCCTTTAAGGGTTCATTTTCAAATCAGGTGATGCAAAGTGTGTTCTGGCACATCCATTAGGACCTATTTAGTATGCATGAAGTGTGGCCAAAGGCCAACGGCCTTTTGATTGCATTTAGGTTTGATTATCGCATCATTTACCTTTAAAGGACATTTTTCGAGCAGTTGAGCTTTGATAGGTCATTTTTTGTATCGGCGGTATTTTTAAGCCATGGATCATTGTAGCGCGTCCTAATAGGTAAGATACGTCTGCGTGCATGATCGTTTTCGAGAAAAGTCCCTTCCTTGGTGAAATGAGCCTCTTTTGGATTCATTTTCACATTTTTCTTGCATATTAGGGTTTAAGGGCAGTTTGGGGTTTTTCTTTAGGAAATAAATTCCGGTCTTGACTCCATCATACAGAAAATGTGATTTTAGGGGTAATTTCTTTACGGCATTTTTCCAGAAAATGTCGTATTGGCCTCGAAAATCCCAATTCCATTTCAGTTTTCCATTTCAGTTTTCCATTTCTGCTATTTTTTTCCAAAATAGCAGGTTACAGTATGCCCTCAGTCCAAAAGAGTCGGCTCAATTCCAAAAGAGCCGGCTCTTTCATCAACTCAGCCGACTGAGTTCTTAAAAGAGTCGACTGAATTGCTTCGCACCTCATTCTGGTCATTGTTGGTGCTCTCAGCCTAACTCAGCCGACTAAGTTGCCAACTCAGCTGACTTAGTTGCTCTCAGCCTAATTCAGCCGACTAAGTTCCCAACTCAGCCGACTAAGTTTGGCTGCAGCGATGACCTGTTTTTAAATGGTCATAACTTGCTCATCCAAGGTCCAAATTAGGTCATTTTTGAGCCTAAACTCAAGAGCTTGAAGTCAGCTTTCCCATGGTACCAACCATACCCTAAAACTCGAACCGTAATGAGAGTTATGATGGTTTTAGTGAGATAGGTTCCCGATGTCGCTTAGTTGCAGGACGCAGCTTTGTTCTATCTTCATATCTTTGTCGTCCGGACTCTGAATCATGCGATTCTTGAGTCTATCGTTGTTGATTTTTCGTTTTCTTTCCAATGGTGTGCACGGTGGCACCCATTTTAGTGTGAAATGACCATTTTGTCCTTGGTTCATTTCTTTTCGGGTTTGGCATTCTTGCTTCATTGCTTGGCTCATTTGAGTTCCATGGCTTCATGTGGAGTCATTTTGGTACCTTAGGGATGACGTACATCTCTAGAGATCACCTTTCGTCTTTTGCTTCGACATTTTGGATCCGTTTCGGGTCATCACAGGGCACACTGGGTTGAAAAGTTCAGGGTCGTCACACAAAACCCATATCTTTCAGTTTCCATCGCCCACTGTTCTAGTTTTGGTTCGTTGTTCGCAAGCTTCAGTTGCTGTCTTTCAACTCTCAAGTTTACCCCCCTCTCTCTGCAACTGCTAACTTGTGTGTATGGGTTTTGTTTTATTTTTTTTATTTTTTTCTAAATCAACTAATCAAGCTCTGTAATTCTTGTTTTGCAAACTAAATCGTATTTGGTGAAATTTTTTTATGATCTTTTTATAATCAAGCTCTACTCTCGTTCTCAACTCTGAAGTTGCCCTCTCTCTCTCTCTCTCTCTCTCTCTGCAATTGGAAACTACAAAATCTACATGAATAAAAAGTTCAAAATCCATATATTTCAATTTATCTATTTGTCTGCAAGAATCAAAAGTTCAAAATCAATTACCTATCTCAAAACCCATATGGGCGTGTTCAAAAAATCAAAACCCCCATATTTTTAAAATTAGGGATATTTTCAGAATGTAAAAAATGTTACCAAACATGTTCTATTATGTTTCTGTTTCAAAATTCTCACCGTAAATTTTCGTCGCCAAACATGTTTTGTTCTCATTTTAGAATACCACATTATAAAAACTTGTTCTGTTTTAAAGTAAAACAAAACATTACAAAACACAACGCATACCAAACGAGCCTTTAAGAGGACGCATACCAAATGGGCCTTTAAGTCTTAGAGGTGTTGCTTTCAGACCGTACTTTTTACTTGGATGTTATGTGTTGTGCGGTTCACAAGTGCGAAAAAAAAAAATAATAATAATAATAATTATTATTATTCATTTATCTTCTGTCGTCCAAACGTCGACGTCCCCGGCTACTTATGAGATGCAGCTGCCTGTCTCATCTGTATTGTCGTTAACGCTATATACCTATTTGCTCTGTCTCTACTTCTCTTCTCGCTAACTCTGGAACGCCAAAAGCTCAGGACGACCTGAGGCTTAAAGGTAGGTTCTTTTACCTCTCGATTCAATACCAAATTGCAATTCATTTTGGACGTCCCCGGCTACGTATGAGATCCGGCTGCCTGTCTCATCTGTATTGTCGTTAACGCTATATACCTATTTGATCTGTCTCTGCTTCTCTTCTCGCTAACTCTGGAACGCCAAAAGCTCAGGACGACCTGAGGCTTAAAGGTAGGTTCTTTTCCCTCTCGATTCAATACCAAATTGCAATTCATTTTGGATTATCATAGTTACGTTAGGTTTTTTCATGTTTATATAAAACTATATAGATCGTGTTTAGTATCATCGTTGTGATTGATTTTACTTCGAAGTGATAAATGGTGTTTCTCATTTCGTCCTTCAATTGTGATTTGACCTAGAGTTTTATTGGAGGGATTTTACTGTTTTGTTTTTTGGGTGGAGATTATCGAGGCATAAAAATTGGGGCTTTTCTTGTATATCGTGATTTTTCGATCTTCTTTTGGTCCTCAATGATTGTTCCACCTCTATTTTGTGATAAAGGAACAGACTTTGTATTGACGATATTAACAGTATGACTTTTGGTGCATGTTTATTTTCTTACGGGTCGGCCTGTGCGTTTGTACTTTGTAGATATGCTTAAGCACATGTTAGAGTTTCGTAAATACTAGCAAAATGCAAAATGAATTTCGGAAATAACCGAATTTGGTTAAATTTGGTTGTTAGTGAAAAGTTCAAAATAAATAAACATTATGTTTAGAAATGAATGCCTTGCATGTCCCTTAGGTCATCTATTTTTTTGTTTAGACAACTAATTTTTATATAGACAAGCAGGCTGTACAAATTTTTTCATTGCGTACTCATTTTATAGGCCTAATGGTGATGCCCATAGCTTTTGTAGATGGGTTGATTGCTTGCATAGAACAAGTACATGACTTTAGGATTAATAGGACATTCTGCAAATGACATTTTTGGACTTGTATAATCATACTTGTAGCACAGTTATCAAAATTGTGATCTGGATGGTAAAATCACAGTCCTACAATCCAATTTATCAAATTGATCTAGGGCGTTAAAAGAGTTGCTTTACAACAGGATCATGGTAGGATCGACCATAGGGTTGTGGATCGCAATCCCATGGCTGATCCTACCGATACTATGAAATGGGCTATTTATGTTTTTTGGGGTCAATTCAACTGTTTGGGTCTCCCGTCCTTTTTGCAATAAATAATCTGTTCCTTTTTTCCATTTTTTAAGCCTAAAGGCCAGCTGTTTAAGCCCAATTTTATATATGTTTGTGTGTGTATATATTTTGATAAATCCAATTCTAATTCTAATTAAAAGAGATTGAAACTACTTATCAACAAAAAAAAAAAAATAATAAAAGAGATTGAAACTAACTTATAATTACCAAATTTAGAATTAGAAATTAGTTGTTTTTCACTTTTAGTCTGTTGCAAAGTCAGATGATCAGTGAGTGGCATAGTTGGGCAGTCCAACAAATTCCAAAGACCTCCAGTTAGTGCAAGAAAGCTTCTAATCATCTCAGCTTTCAATCTTTAGTTCAAACCCTCAAAGTTAAGTTTCAAAACATCAATGTTTCTTCTTCTCTGCTATACTATTCTCAATTTATTCTTTATCATTTTATTTTACTCCTTTTCTTAATCTGTTTCTTTTGATTTGTTCATTAGCTACTCTGATTAATTCAACTCTCCATTGTTCATTCTCTTTTTTATTTTTTAATTTCTACTCTACTTGGTTTTGCTCATTCTCTGTTTTATTCTTCTATTTTAAAACAACTAAAAGGTTGATATGCAGACTGAGAGATGGAAGACTCTTTCTTCTTTTTTCCAACTCTCCTTTTCATTCTTTTCCCTTTTGACCATTGCGTGATTGTATTCTTTATTTAGTTTACTAACCTTTGCAAATTCAATTTGAAATTATAACAGAAAAGTGAAGAAAAAAAATAAATAAATAGAAGTCCAACATGTTAGTTCATTTCCAAAAGTTAAATTTTGGATGGAAATATGAGATTGAATGTTGCAGTAGATAATAATCCGAAAAAAGGAAGTGTAGGTATTGTAGTATTGTTTATTTTGGTGGTCTTTATCGGCTCAACATTACTTAACTTGAACTAATTGACATGTTACTCATGTCTGAAGGTCCTGGAGGAAGTGAAGTAGAATTTTTTGGGTCTTCCTTGAATTCAATTGGAAAAATCGCAAAAGAAAAACAAGACTGATTTCTGTTTTATTCTTCTATTTTTTAACAACTGAAAATTTGATATGCAGACTGCAGAGACAGAAGACTCTCTCTCTTTTTCCAACTCTCTCTTCTTCTTTTCTTCTTTTTCATTTCTTCCTTTTTTTTTTTTTTCTCCTAAAGAAAAAGGTCAACTATAGTGCTGGCTGTTGCACAGTTGTATTCTTTATTCAGTTTAATAACCTTTTTTTTTTTTTTTGATAAGTATTCAGTTTAATAACCTTTGCAAATTCAATTTGAAATTATACCCGAAAAGTTAAGAGAAAAAAAATGTCCAACATGTTAGGGAATGTGCAAAGGTTAGATTTTGGATGGGAGCATGAGATTGAACTTTGAAGTAGATAATAATCCAAAAAGAAAAAGAAAAGAAAAAGGAGGAGGCTAATTAGAAACTTTCTTGGAGGCTGACGAAGGTAGCTGGAGCTCGCTGAAGGTCGCCAGAATTCCCCATCATGCAAACCACTAAAAGTCGCTTGACTCAGTGAGATGTCGAAATTGATAAATGGCTTAGCCTAATAACTGAATTTGGTGGTTACATTAGGGTTTTGTTTATTTATTATTTATTTTATATATAAATTGGAGTTGGGTTTATGCTTAAAAACCTGCAATGGAAGTGGTTTTTTTTTTTTTTAATGCAAAATGGGTTGAAGGCTCGAATAATTGAATAGACCTTAAAATAGAATTAGAAAATAGCCCATTTCAACTTTATCAAAAAAAAGAAGAAATTATCTCTCCCTCTCTCACATATAGTTTCTTTACATGCTGAAGTGGGAGTGATAAATGATGGAATTTAGTTACAATTCTGTAAAAGTTCTTACTTGCTTTTGTTCTTTTCAGTAGAGGGACAGTCCTATGGGCAATTTTGAAAGAAGTTAGATTCCTTGACAATTAGGAAATTAATAACCTTCACGTATTAAAGTTGATGTTAATAATTATTTAAGGGTTTCAGTTAGAATTTGGATGCAAGATCTCTAATTTGAAGAGTGTTGGTGAATTCTCTTTGGGTTTAATTTAAGTCGGATTTTAGTTTTACATTTCTTAGTGGATCAATATTTTGCTTATTCTTTCCTTGGTGATTAAATTATAGAACCGTTCAGAGAGCATGCAAGTTTCTATGAAAGCATAATTACATAATGATCCATGCATGTTGTACTTGAATATGCAAGTTGGGTTGGGTTTGTGGATGCAAATTGTTAATAAGGGATGCATGCAGGTGAACCCAGTATTTGAATCAAGGCTTTTTGAATGAGTTGAGTGTGGGTCGTGGTGGAAACTCTTATTTAGAGGGGCCATCTCATTTGCAAGTTTTGTCATCTTTCCTTGTGTGGTTAATGCTAAGATTTATGGTCAAATGATTTTTTTTTAATAAGTAAATTTTCATTTAAAGCGCTAAAAGAACAGGATAAGAAAGTCATGCTCATTTTGTTTATTGGAGTATAATTTATTTTCCATCACTAATTTTATTTTCATTTCTTTTTATTTTATTTTATTTTATTCTATTTATATTTTTAAAGTGAAAATATAGTTACTGATTTTTTTATGGATTCTATAGTTAAAACTTCTGTATCTCAAAACGATTGTCATGGGTTCTACATAAGCTTGGAAATGGAAGATCTCTCCCCATTTGTTGTATGATAAGCCATGAAGTTGAAGATGTTTGCTAGTATATTCACGAACATTTAGGTTAATATTATTTGGTGCTTCAAGTGTGAGCAAAGAGGTTTCAAATTTCTTACCTAGAATTTGGTTGAAGAACTGGGTTTTTTTTAAGCCTGCAGTCTCCTGATGCTGAGTATAGTATAGTAATGTGTAATGGATCTGAGGCTGTTTGCTTGTTGAAATATGTGTGCTGTAGAGGTTTGGTGTTATGTACCAAAATTTAATACCTAGAATTTGGTTGAAGAACTGGGCTCCTTTTTCAGCTAGCATCCTCTTGATATTGAGTATGGTAATGCTTAATTGATCTGAGGCTGTTTGCTTGTTGAAATATGTATTCTGTAGGGGTTTTGGTGTTGTGTATCATGAAGGGGAAGTGTAGGGGTTTGATTTGGACTTATGGATATGATCATGGGTATGTGGTTGTAATGTGGACAGGGAGGACTTTGCAGCTGTGGTGGTGGTGGTGGTGGTGGTGTTGCGAATCAGTGGTGGTTGGTGTTGATAAGAATTATTTTGAATATGAGTTCGGACAGCAGGAGCAGGAGCAGGAGCAGGAGCAGGAGCAGGAGCAGGAGCCGGAGCAGGAGCCCACCAGATCGCAAGATTCGTACTGAACGCTATTCCTATCGTGCTGCACCTTACAGGAGGGAGTCACGGCAGGGTTTCAGGTTGTCTGGTTTTCAATAATTTATTTGTTGTTCCTTTATTCACTGACTATTTTATAGTAGGATATGCTGGTGGAAAGCAAGGGAGTCTGATATGCGAGTCTGTCAGAGAGATAAGGAGGCTGATTAATGTAACATTTATGTTGAATGATGCTTTTGTGTGAATGTTTTTGTGGACTACCACCAAGGCTTTAACTCAAGTGGAATCTCCTCCTCTTACCATTTTAGGATGTTGAGTGTTCAAGTCCACATTGGAACAACAATGGGTGTGTGCGTGAGCTTACTTACCCAAGTAAAAAATACAAAAAGAATGGACATTTCTGAAGTCGAACACTCATATATATATATATATATATATAAATTCTGATGTTCACATGCTATTGGATTTTTAAAATTTTTTTTTTAGTTAGTTCTTTGAATTGTATGTATATACTGAAGTGAATTTCTCACTTTACATGGTTAATGTTAGTGGAGTTTAACTTACCAATTCTAAAGTATTTTTGGAAGGTTTACAAACTCTGTGCGTGGGCCAGGTGAATGTTGCACGACGTGGTGTATCTGACTTTATCTTGCCAGATAAATAGCCTTCCCTAAAACTTTTTTGGAAACATGAAAAAACAGTGCAGTGCAAAAAATGTGTATTTCTTGTTTTCGACAGTTAAAAAATCAACATCCGATTATTTCCTATTTCATAAAATATGAGTGATATGATTTTCTTTATTGTTGTTGTTTGACAGTTTTCTCATGTCTTAATTTCTCAGTTTATTTAATAAGAACTTGAACACCCCTACACCTGTTGCCTTTGGTGGTATCTTTTTCTTCTTATTTCAGATGGGGTATAGGGATGATTGGGGGAGGTTATCAGGTTGTTTACTTATTTTCTAGTTTTCTTTTTTATAAATAATTCCTTCACTGCTTTCTGCTGTTATAATGTTCTTCACCTATGTTCTCTAGCAGCTTGACAAATTGAGCAAGTAGTTTTTCTAATTTTGGTTTTTGGATGCAAGATTTTTTACTATGTTAATTTTTTTTTTTTCTGCTGGGCTATAATTGTAATTCTTTTTTCCAGCCAGAACAATCTGTGTAAGAACTGCAAGCGGCCGGGTCATTTCGCTAGAGAATGTCCTAATGTGGCAATTTGTCACAATTGTGGTCTTCCTGGGTAAGGATTTTTCTCATACATTCTTTATAAATTCAGCACTTGCATCCTGTGTCACATGCAATTATATGCATGCATATAAGTGCACTGCCTTACTCTTTTAGGCTTATTAAGGTTTATAGTGATACTTGACCTGCAAATGTACTGGAAAATGATCAGTGTCCTGCAATGGCTTGAATTGTCTCGTGGATAGTTGCGTGATAGATCTGCTGACTACGCTTGTGGTACTACTTTTCATGATGAAGGAAATTGGGGTTGAAGGGTACTGAAGCCTTACTCTTTTAGGCTATTAAGGTTTATATCGATACTTGACCTTTAGTACTGGAAAATGATCAGTGTCCTGCAATGGCTTGAATAGTCTCGTGGATAGTTGTGTGATAGATCCGCTGACTATGCTTGTGGTACTACTATGAAGGAAATTGGGGTTTAAGGAAATTGACATAAGTATCTTTACATACTGCTTGAGAATTCCAATTATTTTTTTTCCCCTAAATGTGGAGATTTTATAAATAAGAATTTACAGAATTCAAATTATTGTTATTAGGGTATTTGGAACTAAGCTCTCTTGAGGCTCCTAACAATTACGGGACCTTCCCAAGGTTTTTGAATTGAATGGCCACCAGAATTAACACCGTTGTGAGCCTTTAGGCAGTCACCGCTGCTGCCAGAGCTCCAATAAGTAAGAAGTCAATAGAGAAAAGGAGGAGAAAGAGGATTTTTGTTTTTTAATTTTCTTTTTCCTGTTTTGGGGAGGGGGGGTTGTTGGTGGGGGTGGAGGGTATTTGGTCTTCATCTGCTCCCAACATTTAATTAGGGGCTTTGCCTACTAATTGTCTTCTCTTGGTCTGGTGAATGCCCACAATGCACAACTCTCTCTCTCTCTCACTATATATAATGTGTGTCCCAACCTCACCCATCTCATGATTGTCATTTTCATCAAGAAGCTCTTTTGTCGTGATCTGCAATCATGGCCATCACTGCCATGTACCCTTTTACTTGATGGATGTTCCCACCGCTGTTCTTCCTATCTAATTTTTCACCTTCAACAGCCACCCTCCCTATATCACGAAATCTGAGCTATTCTAGTCTACTCTCTCATCACCATTGAAGTATTCTAATCAGCTTGTCATCCTCACCTCTGCGAAGTCACAAGCTGGCTCAAATTCCATCTTATCTGAGGTATAATGAGGTTCTGGGTGTTGCTTGATTGTGATGATTATGGTGGGTGGTAAATTTCGCAGATGATGGTCATAATAAGGGGGACATTGCTTAGTGCACTGGTAAAATGCCCAAGCGGTCAATCTTGGGAACACATGTTTGAAGCACTTTGTGCAAATAATGTGAAAGGTTATGTTTGTTTCTGGCCCATCCCTCCAGCACCCTCGATTAATGAGGACCACACTTGGTTGTTATATATATATATATAATTTTGTTGTGATTGGTTAATGGTCTTATGTTGGGGGAAGTAAGGGAGAGGAGAACTGGAGGGTGAGGCTTAAGGCAGAAGTTCCAAAGGCCTTTTTTATATTTCATCTGTTGATATAAATACACACACACACACACACACACACATATATGGTAAGCAAGCAACACACGCACCCATTTTGTCCTATTTGTGACTTGAACTCTCGATCTCCCTTTCTGGGAGATGGAGGTCATACACTCAAGCCAAGGGCTCGATAGTTGAATAATAGTGAGTCTCTCTCCTCTACTCAAGGCAAAAGGTGAATAATATTTAGAGTGTAACTCTAGTGGTAACTCCTCTACTCTTAAAGTGGAAGGTTGAGGTTGAGGTTCTGGTCCCCCATAAGTGGCAATTGTAGGTGTGTGCGTGTGTAGTGTAAAATAAACTTTATTTTAAATGTAGAATTTCATTGGAATAAGTCAATGTTATTTTGATGCAAATACTTATTGAGAACAACTCTAGAAGAAGAAAAGGTTATAACAATTGGGAAGAATTCTAGAAAAATAAGAAAATGTGATAGAGAAGTTGATAAAGATGGTTAGAGTAAATTTAAAAAAAAACTTACAATTGGACCCACATAAGAGAGAGTTCCCCTCCCCCCTTACCCCCCGGCCCCTGGGTTAAAAATAATAGAAAGTTAATGGGGCCTTGGGAGATTGCTTTATTTGCCTAATAGTGGAGTTGGCACTAATGGGTGGCAGGATAAATGATGGTTATGGTTTCTGGTTTTGTATGATGAATGTAGTGGCGGAGCTGAAATGGACTTGTGTTGTTGGATTAGTAAAGTGAAGAGAGAAACTAAAGAGGAGGATGATGGTGCTGGTGGGATGATGTGATGGTTATGGTTTTTTTTTTTTTGATAAATAAGCAATTCATTAAAAGCGTTCAACAGGGGAATGCGTCCCTACAAAACCACAAAAAAACCTGGGTACCCTAAGGCCCCATGGAAGATAAAAACTCAATAGTCTCCTTAGCAGAAGAACATAGTCTACCCGAACCCCAAAAAAAGAGAGCTAATAACAGAAGATTTGAGAATAATGACTGAAGATTCCTCTCCTTCAAAGGATCTTCTATTCTGCTCCCTCCACAGACACCACCAAAGACACTGGGGCGCCATCCTCCAAAACCCTCGAGCTTGCGCTCCCACCCAACACCCTCTCCAGGTGTCCGTCAGACCTCTCGTAGATCTAGGCATAATAGGCCTAGCAAGAGATTCCAACAGTCAACCACTACTGGATAATGCAAAAGTTGATGGTCAACCAACTCTCTATTACACTTACAATGCAACACCAATTCACCGTGATATGATTTTTCCTTTTCAAATTATCCAGTGTCGATATTCTACCCCACACGACCGTCCAAGCAAAGAATGCCACTTTTAATGGCGCCTTAGTTCGCCACACTGCCTTCCAAGGGAATACTGCCCCAGCTGGGTCCAAAAGGCATCCGAAGAAAGATCTCACACTAAACATTCCCCTAGAAGAAGGAATCCGAACAAGAGAATCCCTACCTCCTCCACGGATCACCTTGTTGTACAAAAACTCTAAGAAACCAAAGTCGTCATCCATCTCCCAGTCCTGAAAGGATCGCTGAAAAAGCACTTCCCAAACCAGTCTCCCGCTATCAAGGCAATAGCAGTCAGCCACCAAGGCATGCCTATTAGCCGCAATCCTAAAAAGTCTGGGGAAAGAACATGCTAAAGTACGATCTCCACACTACAAATCCTTCTAAAACTGAATCTCCGTGCCATCATGAACTCTGAATTTGATATGCTTAGAGAACTCATTCAATCTCTTCCGAATGACTTTCCAAACACCAATGCTTCTAGGAAGAGACCAAATCAGAGCACCCCCCCCCGCCCTCCTCTCTCCTCCCCAAAGCGACACAAGATAACCTCCTCCAGAACCTATCCCGCTCAATACCAAACCTCCTACAAAACCTATCCCGCTCTATACCAAACCTCCACAACCACTTACCTAAAAGGGCCCTGTTAAAAGGCAGCAGTCTCCTAATCCCTATTCCTCCGAACTTAACAGGCTTACACACCTGCTTCCCAACGAACCATATGATACTTAAACTCATCCCCCAAATCTCCCCATAAGAAGTTCCTCTGAAGTCTTTCAATACAAGCAGCTACCGAGGATGGAATTTGGAAAAGGGATATAAAATATGTAGGAATGCTCGACAAAGTGCTTTTCAACAAGGTAACCCTCCCACCTTTTGATAAATATTGCTTCTTCCACCGCACAAGCCTCCTCTCCACCACCGGATCCCAAGCACCTACAATCCTCGAAGAAAACCCCAGAGGTAAACCCAAGTAAGAGATCGGAAAAGAACTGACTCCACAACCAAGAACAGAAGCTAACTCCTTGATATCCTGAACCTCCCCCACTGGAATCAACAATATATATATATATTTTTTCCATAATTGGGTTTGTATTAACAGAAAAAGAAATAGTCTAGGTGCACAGAGGGCATACCCTCAGAATCAATTGAAGAAAAGAAAGGGGAGAACAATAGAGAAACACTTCCAATACAGAGACATAACAAAATAAAAAATATTAGGACACAACATCCTGCATAGAGGCATTCTGAAAATCCAACACTTCGAACAGCACGTCTAGCCACTATCTCTGCATCTGTAGATGGCCCATAGAGCCTAGCATTTCTCTCATTCCAAATACCCCACATCAATGCTGCAAATAAGCTTTGTAAAGAGGTCGAATTCTGATGTAGGTCCCTAAACCAGTAAAAGAGATCACATATAGTAGATACCCCACCAAACTGCTGCATGTCCCTATTGAGAACCCCACCTAACCATGTCCACACAGATTGAGTAAACGGGCAAGCAACAAACAAGTGGTCTGTGGAGTCAACATTCCGAAGACAGAGAACATCTAGCAGCCAAACTAACCTTTCTCCTTTGTAGATTCACCATGGAAGGTATCCTATTTAGCATTACAAACACAGTAGTGACAGACCACCTGGGCCGAGCCCTGCCCCAGCACAATGCTGGACCATTCCACCTTCTCAAATTCAGTCCTACAAGCCATCCAAGCTCACTTGAACAAGAAACCACCACCATCCCAAAACAACTTGTCCTCGTTTGAATGAATAGGAACAGAGAGAAGATAAGATTTAAGCTGATCCAAACCAGAACCATGTAGTAGAGCCCAGTTCCAGCCCCCATTAAGCATCAAGCAACTCAAAGTTGCATCTCTGAAAATTGCTAAATGCCTTGCCACTCTTTGTCCAAACCTTTGAGAGCAAGTGTTTGGCCCTCACACCATGGATCTTGAAGAACAGAAAAAGATTGACCACACCCCACTCTAAACTGAATGTGTTGCAACATAGTATCCCTCACATCAATAATGGACTTCCAAATAACAGAGTGAGACATCCTTGGGACCACCTTCCAGTAATTAGTATTTGGAGAATATTTCAGATTGTACCATGAAACCCAGTCTATCCTTACTTGTCAAGAATTCCCAAGCAAGAACACATTTTGAGGTGGCCTGAATGTCCACCGCTTCTTCAGACCAAGACCTCCTTCAGCTTTAGTTCTTGTAATCATATCCTAGTTGAGAAGATGCATTTTCTTTAAGTTTTCCTTGCTACCCCACAAAAAGTTCCTACAAAGCTTCTGAAGATGGTTGATAACAGCCATTGGGATGCTGTAAACACTACACCAGTAAAGAAACATAAGGGCAACTGTAGACCTAAGCAATTCAACCTTACCTGGCACTGACAACATTTTTGTACTCCAGCAATGGATCTTGCTAGAAACCTTGTCAATCAAAGCATGACATTGAGATCTTTTAACACCATTAGGACAGAGTGGTAAGCCCAGATATCTGATAGGAAATTTTGCTTAGCATTGAAGAAGGTTCAGCATATTATTCTTCCTTCCAACTGCCTTAGAGAAGATAACATTGCTCTTTTGTTGACTTACCTGAAGCCTAGTGGTTTCCTCAAACTTCTTGAACAAAACAGACAGAGCCCTAGCACTGAGTATTGAGGCCTTGCAAGCAACTAAGAGGTCATCTGCAAAAAAAATGTGACTCAAGGGAGGATGGATCTTAGCAGCTGCATGTGTAACAGACCCCTACCTGGCTGGATGAAACCAGTAGGGGATCCATTAACAAGAATTGAATATCTAGTGGTAACAAGAATGGAAGAAATCCAAGAAATCCACACCTCACTGAAACCATATCCTTTTAAGGCTGTTAATAAAAAGTCCCAGGAAACAGAGTCATAAGCCTTCTTTACATCCACCTTAACTGCCACTGAAGCATGCCTAGTCCCATTGAAATCCCTAACCAGCTTATGAGCCAGCTTATGAGCCAAAATTAGAGCATCTTGTATTCTCCTACCTTTAGAAAGGCACTCTGCTCAAGTACCACTGGAGAGGAGATCACAGAAGCAAGTCTATTAGCCAGCACTTTTGTGATCACTTTATACACCAGATTACAGAGTGCAATTGGTCTAAACTCACCCAGTTTTCTAGCATTTCCCACCTTTGGAATAAGAGTAATAAAGGAGCTGCTCACACCCCTCGGCAAGCCACTGGTCAAAAAGAAGTGCTGCACTGCAGACACCACATCTTTTTCCCACCACTGACCAATAGGTTTGAAAAAACCTTAACTAGGAAACCATCAGGACCTGGAGATTTATCTGGATTGAAGCCCATCACCATAGACTGAATCTCCTCAGAACTAACATCCCTGACCAAAGAAGCTGCCTCTTCTTCCTGAAGTGTATTTCTAGGATTAAAATCCTCCTGCACAACCTCTGGTCTCTTGGCAAACAATTGCTTATAAAACTCCACAAACCATTCTCTGATCAGATTTAAATCTGTAGTGGTATGACCAGAATCATTTTCCACACAGGTGATAGCATTGAAGTTCCTGTGTTGCTTCATTTTATTATAAAAATATGCAGTGCAACTGTTATTATCCTTTAACCATAACACCTTGGATTTTTGAGCAATGAGAACTTCTTGATCAATGATAGCAGCTTAATATTTCTCTCTAGCCTCCTGCTCTAAATGACGCAAGGTAGCAGAAGTATTGCCCAATAAGTCCAATTGAACCTGATCTATGTGGTTTTTGGCCTGGATAACCTTCTGACCCACATTCCCATAACAATTTTTATTCCATTCCTTAATACCTCTCTTCACATTCCTAAGTTTTTTCAAAAGAACATGCATAGGACTACCAGAGACCTCTATATCCCATACTTGTTGCACTATGGGAAGTACACGGTCTTGTAAACACCAAACCTTTAGCCTCTTAAAAGGCTTAGGCCCTGCAAACTCCTTTGAAATCTGAATAGAAATTCCATAGTGATCAGAGCAGGTTGCAGCTGTATAAGAAGCCTTTGTGCCAGGTAGTTGATCCAGCCAATCCCCATTGATAAAAACCCTGTCAAGCTTCGCAAATATTCTTCTAGAGGTGTGTTGACTGTTACTCCAAGACCACTCACCATTAGAAGGATTCAGTTCCGGTAAGCCAGCCCTGTGAAGACACTCATTAAATTCATCAAGAAGCTTCTGAGGTACTTTCTTCCCACCTTTTTTTTTTTTTTTTGATAAGTAATAATTAAATAAAAAGGCGTTCAAGAGGGGAACGCGTCCCTTATACAACTTTCTTCCCACCTTTCTTATCACCAAAAAATCGAATAGCATTCCAGTCCCCAACTGCCATCCAAGGACCTGACACCATGGTAGAATATAACAAAATAATTATAGATGAACGTGGCGATGGAAGTAGGTAGTCTGTGAAAAGAAAGAGATGGATGATGGACCCTGACATCGATAATTGTCAAATAGTAAGGGTGATTTCATCATTCTACCTCTATATCCATCTTGATTTTGTGGATTTAAGGGTGTAATTTGACTATTGCTTAGTGATACTGGTTAGTAAACTAGATAAGGAGCCTGAAACCTTTTTTCCATGTAAATATAGGTGGGTAGCCTGAGACATCAGGGCAGATCTCTGTATTATCGGAAGAGATCAGTTTATTTTACCCTTTCTATCATTCATCATCCATATTATAATTATCATCAGTGACAATTCTTCCCCCCTCCCCCTTCTTTACCTAATTATCATCACTAATAATTCATCTTTACCTTCAAAATAACACCAGGCACATTGCATCAGAATGCAGCACGAAGTCTCTATGTTGGAATTGTCGAGAACCTGGGCACATGGCTGGCAACTGTCCAAATGAGGGCATCTGCCACACTTGTGGTAAGGCAGGCCACCGTGCTAGAGACTGCACAGCCCCTCCGCTGCCACCTGGTGACCTGAGGTTGTGCAATAACTGCTTCAAGCAAGGCCATATGGCGGCTGACTGTACAAATGACAAGGCATGCAAGAACTGCAGGAGGACAGGACACCTGGCACGTGATTGTCAGAATGATCCTGTCTGCAATTTGTGTAATATTTCTGGGCATTTGGCTAGAGAATGCCCAAAGGGCAATGCTTTTGAAGACCGGGGTGGCATGGCTCGTGGTGGTGGTGGTTATCGAGACATTATATGTCGGACCTGCCAACAGCCAGGTCATATCAGCCGAGATTGCCCACAGCCAGGTCATATGAGCCGAGATTACATGGGCCCCTTGATCTGTCACAACTGTGGGGGAAGAGGACATGTGGCATTTGAGTGCCCATCTGGGAGATTTATGGACCGCTTTCCTAGGAGGTACTGATGGATGTATCTCTTGATTTATGATTTATTGTACTTTTCATTCAGTTTTCCGAATAATTTAGGTAGTTTTCTCTGGCCAAATAATTTGAAGTCTGAACATGGATGGTCACGTTTTGACTCTTGGAACTTTTCTTGTTTTACTAATTTGCTACGTTAGATATGGAGCATTCAAGAACTTGATATGCTATGAATGTGTTGCACTGGGAATACAATTCTGCAGTTTAAGTTATATGTAATTCTATTACCTGATGATGAGATTATTCGGGGTGGTTCTTGGGGATTTTGAGATTTTGAATTTCCTTTCTACTAAATTTATTTTGGGTTTAATCTTTCTGGAGTAGATCAATGTTACCTACAGTGCTTTTCAATCCTTTTGATTTCTGTCTTCATTGTCCATCATTTACCCCTGAATGCACTATGTGGGTGAAACCAACCGCCATAGCTGAATTTAAAGTCCTTACACAGGCTTTTAAAGCTTCCAAGAATTTTATGATGCCAAGCCCATATTTTCTTGGTTATTATTTATATTGTATTATTTCACACTTGTGAATGTGATTCTTTCCAAATCTTGTACAAGGAAAAGAAAAGTTGATAAACTGTCGAGGCGTCTGGGTGATGGCTGTGCAATGGTGGTATTGGGAACACTAGGGCCACCTTGTTTGTGTTTGTGTTGGGAAAATCACCGAACTCTATATAGTGGCTTATCCCTAGGGATGGCAAATTTTCCATTCCCGCTAGGTCCCCGCCCCGTTTACAACGGGGATGGGGACCCTTTTATGTAAACAGGGATGGGGATGGGGGTAAATTTTGAAAACCCACGGGGGACGGGGTCGGGGGCGGGGATGGGGTAAACCCGCCCCGCCCCGTCCCGTCCCGCCAATATATCCTTATATTTAATAATTTATTACTAAATTAGATTTAGTATATATATAAAAATAAGAAAAATTATGTTTTTTTTTTACAAATAATATATGTTAATCGGGGACGGGGATAAGGGGGGTATGGGGGTGGTGGTGAAATTTTAAGCAGGGATGGGGATTGAAAAACTCAGCAGGATGAGGATGGGAAATGAGATCCCCGTCCCATTGCCATCCCTACTTATCCCATCCCTACTTATCCCTAAGACTCACGTCTATTACTAAAGTGCTAGAAGGAGCTTGCCTTATAGCGACATTAGGAACATTAGGAATTGGAACAAGTAATGCAAACTCTCAAGCCTCAGTAACCAGAGATGCAAACTCTCAATCAACGGATGACGCTAATGTGCTCTCCGACCCGGCTTTCCTGGATAGCCAAATCGGTGAGAAATAGAAAAAAGGTGAAAACATGATTGGTAAAATTTGATACATTTTGCACGGGACTGCATTCGTGTCAGAAAAAGGTGTAGAAAGAAAAAATGAAAGAAATTTCACCTGTTTTTGTTAATGTAGCTGAATAATTGCAGTATATATATATATATATATATGTATTTTTTTTAAACCAATATAATGTGATTACCCTATTCTTTAGGTTAGAAAACAAGTTTATATTTTAGAGTAAATTATAGCGCTTTCATACTAAATCAAAAATACAAAATAAGAACTAAAAACTCTTCCAAAAAGATCCTAGCAATAATTTTGGAAGCACAAACACTTGGGTGCCGTGGTGGTGTGGACATGTGTCCGGACATGACTAGACATATTTAATTTTTAATTGGACACCGCTGGCACAGGGCAATAATATGTGTTTTGAACACTTTTAAGAACTGTTGATGCAAAAATCACGGTCTAGATCTGAAAGCCATTCTTGCAAGACAAGAGAAGTGATGACCGGCGTGGTGCCGGTTGGGTGCATTCCGACGGTAAAGTTAATACTTGACGATTCAATATCCGATAAAGGATTAAATATGGGATCTATGACGTATCTTTTTAGGTTGACGAATGACTTCTTTTACAGAAAAATTAATGGTTGTAGTCTGTAATGAGATCAATTTATTTTCCTTATCCATTACGAATTGTAAGAGTCATTGGAGAGGGTAGTAATTGTATTTCCATCTCCTTTAGTTTATCCATATTATTTGAGTCTCAATGTCACTTGAAACTCTTAACCCGGTCAAATATTCCGTATCAGTTGCCCTTCTTTTTTCACTTGCATAGGTTAGTCAAGCAAGAGTATAGGAGCAACAAAGCAAACATATATTATTATTATTATTCATCCTAACTTGACGTTCTGCACGAGAGCGAACGTCCTCATGGCAACATCCCCATGGTTGTCAGTTTACTTTAAGCTTGTGTAATATTTTGGACCTGAACATGTTCCAGGTGTGTGTTTATATATTTACATATATATTCACTAGTGTGTTAAGCAGAATTCAAGTGCAGTTGTCACTGAAAATTTAGAAGACGACCACGAATATCCAGTGTGGACCAGATTGTGCTAATTGCTTACCAAGCATGTAAGTTCTTAGCAATCATATATTTAAGCTTGCAATAGTAATTATTGTAATTTTAATGACCTTCCCATGACTTTACTCAAGTGTATAAAAATAAAAAAAAAATAAAAAAAAATAAAAAAAAACCTGGGATTTCAAAATGTACAGTGTGCATGCACTAAATATTGCAACTCTTGTAAAACAAAAGTCTCTCTATGCATACATATGTATGCATTTATTGTTTTAAATGCACCACTTTTGGGGTTTAGTGACCCAAATAAAGATTCCAATTTGTAAATAGCAGCACATTACTATTACACGTGTAGATATGAAAATAAATAGACATAATGTACTAGACAGTTTTACTTATCTTTTTTTTTTGAAGATCATGTTCTGCCCCCACCATTGTGGGCCGCTCGGACAGTCCTTTTTTACCGTTGGGTAGTACCGCTTTTAATATGGACAAAATATGCTTGATCGTCATTGTCTCGCCCCTTTTAGTAAAGGGAGTAGTTAATCATAGGGTGCACACGGTTCCGGTTCTTACGGTTCCAGTTTCGACCGGAATCGGAACCGGAATCGTTCACGACGATTCTTTAAAAACAGTATCGGAACCGGAACCGTATAGGTATGGAACCGAACCGGAACCGAACCTACGGTTCCGGTTCGGTTCTCACTGATTGTTTGCTCTTTTTTCCCTATTGAAGGCTTTGAGCCTTTGAGTGTATGTGTGTGTGTATATATGCAGGGCAAAACAATAACATAGACAATAGATCTGCAAATTGAACACCCAATAGAAAAGATATTGTTCCAATTAACGATTGAACATTCACAACGAATAAAAAAAAAAATAATAATAATTGTAGATAGCCGCGATGAGAAGATCTGAAGATGGTGTGTGGGCGTCGGCGATGGCGATGAGAAGTCTGAGATGGTGTGTGGGCGTCGGCGATAGCTACGATGAGAAGATCTGAAGATGAGAGGACTGAATCGACTGAGGACTTGAGGAGGACTGAAGAATGAAGTTGAGACTTGAGGAGTTAGCGAGGCGAGGCGATGAACAGAGAGGAGTCAATGACTGATGAGGCGAGGTTGCCTCTTCAATGAAATTTCAGAACAGAACCACTGAACCAGAGTTGAGATGAGACTTGAGAGCATTGAGATTTGAGAGGTTAAGTTTAGAATTTAGATGTGCAAGGCTGTGTGGACCACCACCACGTGCTGTAATAATCCCAATTGAGTCCTTGACTACTCTGGCAACACAAACGTATATATCTTTACTTCTTGTTTTTAGTATAAAATTAAATATATAATACATACAATATATATATATATATATATATATATATATATGGTTCCGGTTCTTACCGGTTCCCACGAGCTAGAATCGGAACCGGAACCGTATGTTCATGGTTCCTATATTCGGAACCGGAACCGGAACCGTGAGAACTGAAAAAAACGGTTCCGGTTCTCACGGTTCCGGTTCCGGTTCCACGGTTCCGGTTCTGGTTCCACGGTTCCGGTTCCGGTTCTTTTGTGCACTCCTAGTTAATCAATCGTCCCTCAATGAGAGAATGAGATATTGTAGGCCTCAAGTTCCTTTAATGAGGAAAGGAGGTGTAGTCAGGGTAAACCCAATCCATCCTTAAATAAGGGTCCCTTTTAATATGAGGGACGATAATTACGAGGACCCTTTTAAAACGGGGCATGTTGAATTGAATCCCTTTTAATACGAGGAATGTTCATTATAAGCTTCATTCAGTTCGGACCCTTATAATACAGGGCACTTTGATTTCAATTCTTTTACGGAGATAATAATTATGAGCTTCACTTGGCTTAGATCCTTATAGTACGGGACACTTCATATTGATCCCTTATAATACGGGGATGTTGATTACGGGATTCATTTAGCCCGGCCCCTTATAATATGCGGTACTTTGATATCAATCCCTTATAATACGAGGATTTGTATTATAGGATTCATTCAGCCCGGCCCCTTATAGTACGGGGTACTTTGATATCAATCCCTTATAATACGGGGATTTGTATTAAGGGATTCATTCAGCTCGGGCCCTTATAGTACGGGGCACTTTGATATCAATCCCTTATAATACAGGGATTTGGATTACCGGATTTATTCAGCCCGGGCCTTATAGTACGTGGCACTTTGATATCAATCCCTTATAATACGGGGATTTGTGTTATGGGATTCATTCAACTCGGGCTCTTATAGTACGAGGCACTTTGATATCAATCCCTTATAATACAGGGATTTGGATTACGGGATTCATTCAGCTCGGGCCCTTATAGTACGGGGCACTTTGATATCAATCCCTTATAATACGGGGATTCGGATTACGGGATTCATTTAGTCCGAGCCCTTATAGTATGGGGCACGTTGATATCAATCCCTTATAATACGGGGATTTGCATTACGAGATTCATTCAGCCCAGGCCCTTATAGTACGGGGCACTTTGATATCAATCCATTATAATACGAGGATTTGGATTACGAGATTTATTCAGCCCGGACCCTTATAGTACGGGGCACTTTGGTATTTACCCCTTTTAGTATGGGGATAACAAGCTCGTCCCTTTATTAAAGGGGTTCAGAGTAATTTTGAGCTTTACTTAGCCATCCCCTTTGCTAAAGGGGTTCGTAGTAGTTTTGAGCTTTACTTAGCTTGCCATTTGATAAGGGTTATCTCGACATATTGGCTACCGTCAGCATCTTTGTTATTGTTTTCAAAATTTGCCTTTAAGGGAATAATTTACAACAGTTTAGATGGTTAACAAAGACCTATCTTTTGTGGCAAGAA